GCGTTGTACATCAAGGAGATAGATATTCACTGAACAGTTAACCTAAGTGCAGGATTGTGCTGTGCTGTGCTGTGCAGCACGTATCTCCTTGCTGCAGGATAAACTTTGCCAGCTACTTGTAACAGGAGCTTACAGGCGGCTCCTAATTGGTACCAGTGGTTACATCACATGCGTGTCCTTGCCTTTATCTAAAACCTCAGCAGCAAGTTGCCACGTGAATATCCTTTTTACTTGACAGTATAAATGTTGAATAGAGTTGTTTTGCTTGTAAGAAAATCCTGTAAGAGCTCAAATGACCAAATGTGGCAACCTTCCATGGATGGGATCTGCATAGCATGCTGAACATGGCTGGTGGTCTGTTCAATTCCATACAGCTCAGGATTCCCAGCATCTTAAGGGACGTAAGATTATTGATACTATCTTCTTTTTCTTTATAGTTTCTTTATATGTTAGCTCCAATAAATAGCATTTTAAGAGATACTTTACAGAATCTGAGTGCCCTTCTCACTGGGGTTGTAACGAGCCAGTGCCTCCTAGCGCAACACAGATGATCGATGTTTGTTTCCTCTGAGGAGCTTGAAAGTGGTGTTGGTGTGTGTGTGGGGGGGATATTTTAGAGGAAAGCTTTAGTTCTGTAGTAAATTTAAATGACCCTGAATATTTAGGAAGGTATTTAGGAAGTCACTTTTTAAGTAACTGTCTGTTAATCATGATGAAGATGCACAATCTACTGAATGCCTACATGGATTAAATATCCAAATATCACAGAATTTGCCTATGACTTTAAGCAGAATCTTTTACATGCATATAAAACTAGTAGAGATACAGACGTTCAACATACCATACAAGTTATAAAAATCATCAGATACAACTGTTATATATTAGTTCACAGGATTGAATGTATAGTAATTGGAAGATGAAGTATGGTGTCTGTTATTGTACTATTAAATGGTAAATTAGCTTTTCAAAGAGATATATGCAAAGCATTGCTAGCTATTTATATCCACAAGTTCTATCCTGAACTATAGTAGTATAGAAGCAGGAAAGGGAAGTTTGACTTTTCCCACAGATGATTTAAAAAATACCAGCTTTGGCTTGTAATGAATTTCACAGCTGTATAATATGCCTGAATTAATCTCCTACCAAAATGCAAAAGCTATAAAAACAAGTAGGATGTATAGATATCAGTCCTTAAATCTGTGTTTTGAAAATACTAAAGTCATCTCTTGTCAAGTCTGGTGGAGTGCCTTCAAGGTTATGTAACCAAAATTTCTAAAATGTAAATTGAAAATGTAAATAAGGTAGATTATAAGTAATATGATGTGGTGGTGTACTGCATGCCACTATAGGGAGTAGAGGTGGAAGTGATGTGCTGGTAAAGGTTATGTGTATTGATGAGTCAAGCTGCAAAATTCTGGCTAGGTTAAAACTTCTTTGGGAAAACTATGAAGAGGAAATAACGGTGGCCAATCCAGGAAATAATGCAAACATTTGTCTACATTTCAATGCCTTTGTCTCTCTTCTTCCACCAACATACAGTCTTACTCTGGCAGTATTCTATGTCATAAAGTAAATTTATTTACATGAAATCAGATTATCATTATTGGGAAAAAAATTACCATAAATTTGGGGCCAGCAAATGTATAAATCATAACATTATTTTATAGGTTATAAGGTGAAGTTCTGCAGAAAGAATTTGATTATCATTATTGATTGTTTTTTTAACCATAAATCTGAAGACAACCAATAGATATTTTGCTTTAGTGGTATTTCATGTGATAAAATTTTGTTATAACAAATGACTGTTACAGAAATTTAGTAGGAAGATGTAGACCTGGATGACATCATCATTATAGTGAAATCTATACAAGAGCTAGAACAAAGAGGCAAAATATAAATGCCAAGAAAACAAATACAGTGAAGAAAACACTGTAGTAAATTGTTGTCTTAGTATGTAAAATTTACTTGCCTGTGGAAATAGATTTTGTAGTAGAAGGCAAAAAAGACATTCAGTGCTGGCTTAGCTGGCAGTTGATGATCAAATTGTTGAGTGCCAGAAGATCCATTTGAGTCAAGAGAAGAGGAATACAATATTCTCCAACAAAAGACATTTTCCCGAAGAATAAGAGCTGTTGTGATACGAGTGAAAGGTCAAACAGATGTTTTTAAATGGGATTCAGCTATTATTGCTTAGGCTACAGCTAAGAATTTCTGCCTAAGACACACTGAATGAAAAAGTAGAGGATAATGGAAATACTGACTCAAGTGAAAGATACTTTGTCAGGAGTGTTGACACAGGAAATTTTTCTGACTCCAAACAAAATTTGGAGAATAAATTGGAAAAAGAGATCGATTTGGACACTGCAATCATTTAAAAAGTGAGTGTAGCATACACACATTACAGGCTTTGCACCAGAAACTTAACTTGAAATTAGTACTGAGGTGTATATTGCATCTTGAGATGAAGTGATGTGACCACAAATTGAGAATTCTGATGAGGGATGCATCTTTAAAGAGGAGCAGAATAATTAATGCCTCTTTTAAGCTTATTTTCCTAAATTAAGAAGGTAGTAAAATTTTGAAGAAATTCTGAATTTCATGTGTCATCTTCTGTGAAAATGCGTGCTTCTTGGCTTTTGTAACACAACATATACTGATGTGGTGTTCATTTTTTTAGATCTTTACAGTTTTTCAGGGTGTGTCATTTCAGTCTTAAAAAATAAAAAGTGAGTGTGTGACTGTTGTATATTCCCCTGTTTCGTCTATCTCATTTAACATAGGAATAGGATCGGAGAAAATGTCATATGGAGAAACTGTTGCACATCTTGGCCTGTTTCTTGTCATCAGTTCTACTTAGGGTTTACCAAATTAGAAGAATACGTAATCCAGTTATCTTACTGAGTACAAGGAGAGCTTCTTCCTGACTTTCATAATTAGACTATTCCAAAGGACTTCATTTGATTTCTTTTTAATGACTGTCTTATCTATTCTATTGGCAATTTGGTATGGTAAGAACTACTGTTATCTGGGTAATTAAATCAAACCACTGTTTAGAATCTCTCCAGCAAGTATCGAAGTAAATGGTAGAAAGTATATATTAAAATAATTTTTTTTTCTCTGAAACTCCAAAATGGGAAACTCAATTTTTTTTTTCCCCCGGAGAACAAAGAAGTAAACTGTTGAGAGGAATGATTTAAAGATACGAGGTTTTATAAACGTTGAATATGGCATTGGAAACCATCTTCTTCACAAGTCTTATTGCTACTTCTGCCTTTAATATTTGCAGTTGGTCTAGAGTATAAATAGAAATGCAGTTAAAAATTCTATCATGCAAAAACTTTCTCTTACTGTAGCAGCACAGACCTGTTCATTTCATGATAGTCTATCATCCAGTTCAAGAACATCATGTTCTCATCACAGATGACTTCTCTCAGAGACTAAAAAAAAATGCATCCACTACCCACAATGCTTGCAAATGCTTCCCACTGAAAATGAAAGCTGTTGTTATCGTCACTTGCAAAAGAAATATGAGAGCAGCAATCCAAATTTGCGTACTATTTCAATGAAGCTTTTAAAAATGTAGAATCACAATAACTTGTGAATCTAGAAATGGGAGAAGAAACAGATGATTGGAAGTGGCCTTAATATCTTCCATTTTTTAAGATGATGACAGGTCCTCTGGGAATAATCCTCTCTATAAAAGGATATATTTACCTCTTTTTATTTTCCGAAGGGAGGGAAAGCAAAGATATATCTTCAAAGGAAAAAGTGAAGCAGTCCTTCGAGAATAGATCATTTGACATAACAATACAGCACATTAGTGTGTTAGTATGTAAAATGTTGGATTTTTTGTCTTCTGTCTCAAGGTCTTTTTAAAAGAAAAGAAAGTCAAGATACCCTTTTGACAGAGAATGAAAAGAATGAAAAAGCTCTACCTTTTCATGACAGAAATGACTGTTCAAACCGTATAGGATTGTTTTTGCTGAAATCCCCGAATCTGATTGCTAGCTCTTGTAAAACTGAGTATTGTGTTAACAGCTGGTTTTTACAGTAACATTTTTCAGGATAACCTGTTTAAAAATAAAGCTAAAGTAAAAGTGAATAGCCCATTAGCATAATAGTAGTAGTAATAATAATAATTATAATCATAATAATAATTATGTTTAAGGGAAATGAATCTATGTGGAGAGATATAAGGATATAAGCATACTTGTGTGCTTCTGTTTTTCTTCCATGGATTTTTGTCTGTAGACTTAAATATAGAATCATAGAATCATAGAATGGTTAGGGCTGGAAGGGACCTTCAAAGGTCATCTAGTCCAACCCCCCTGCAAGGAACAGGGATATCTCCAACTAGATCAGGTTGCTCAGGGCCTTGTCCAACCTGGCCTTGAACGTCTCCAGGGATGGAGCATCCACCACCTCTCTGGGCAACCTGTTCCAGTGTTCTACAACTCTCATGGTAAAAAATTTTTTCCTAATATCCAATCTGAGTCTACCTCCCTCTATTTTAAAACCATTACCCCTTGTCCTGTCACAGCTGGCCCTCTTGAATAGCCTCTCCCCATCTTTCCTGTAGGCCCCCTTGAGGTACTGGAAGACCGCTATAAGGTCACCCCGGAGCCTCCTCTTCTCCAGGCTGAACAGCCCCAACTCTTTCAGCCTGTCCTCATAGGAAAGGTGCTCCAGCCCTCTTATCATCTTCGTGGCCCTCCTCTGGACCCTCTCCAACTGGTCCATGTCCTTCTTATGTTGGGGGCTCCAGAACTGGACGCAATACTCCAGGTGAGGTCTCACGAGGGCAGAGTAGAGGGGAAGAATCACCTCCCTCGACCTGCTGGCCACGCTCCTCTTGATGCAGCCCAGGACGCGGTTGGCCTTCTGGGCCGCAAGAGCACATTGCCGGCTCATATTGAGCTTCTCGTCCACCAAAGGACGAGATTCCTTGCTTCCATGTAGCAAGGAATGCATGGATCTTTAAAACATTCTTGGAGCTCACTCAGTTCTTTCAGCAAATAGTATGTGTTAAAAAAATTCTGAAGGCTATATAGATTTTTGTCTAGGACTATTTTATTTATAGTGACAATGGTCATGGAGACTAAACAGCTGTTATGTACTCCAGAAGATTCCTGCAAAAGTGGAAGATACACGTTTACAGGGAAATATCCCTGTTCTTCCGAAAAAAGAAAACGTAGGAAGTAAAGGAGAAGCAGTCCCAGCACTCAAGTGCTGGAGGTCACCTGGAACAATGAAGCCATTGGCTTCTGTGCGAGCTCTGAAACCATTTGTCTTCATCCTTCAGGGGCCCTTCTCATGGGCTGCTGCTGTGGAGGCAGCAGTTCCTCCCTCGAGGCCAAGACAGGACTTGTGCTCAGTTTCTTCTGGGTCCTATTAATACGGCTGAGCCTTCCTTGTGATTCACTGACGCGCTGGAGGCAGTGCTGCGTCCCTCCTGCCGCTGTGGCCATATGTCCTTCGTCTCCCCTTGTACCGCTCTGGTGCTGCCTTGACCATTCCACAGGAAACTATATCAGTAAAACCCCCCGAAGCCTGGCTTACTGAGCTGAGCTGGCTCACCACGTAGCCAGGTGGACAGCAGAGACAGTGCAAGTGGGGACTGAACAGAGAGAATGGAGGAGCGAGATCTGCCCTTTTGCTGGCAGTACGTTTCATTTGTCTCATCCAGCCGTATCCTTGCTGGGACTGAGGACAGTAATAAGGTGACGGTGGGGCTGTATCTGCGTTTGGATTTGTGCTGTCAGCAAATTCATTTGCAAATTCAAGCTCAGAATGATGAAATTCACCTCTTGTCATTTTATCACGAGGTCTATGGGGTTGCTTTGCCAGAGAGTTCTCTTTCCATGTATTTATAAAGGCAAATTGGAGGAAATACCTCATTTCTGCTAAATGAGATTATTACTGTGGTTTGGCCTCACTTCTGCACCAGAGCAATGAATCATTTAAGAAAGGTGCGAGGTTTTTGTCTTCCTATGCCTTGATAATTGACTAATAAGCAAATTTTAGGAGGAGCAAAATTTAGGTGCCCCTGGTCTATAGGGGCAGTAGAAAAAATAATTCTTCTTATAAAGGCTCTCTGACCTGGTTTTGGATTGGCCCGTTCCCCTCATTGTCACTAGAAATTGGGAAAAGAAAATTTCCTGTGGTTTTAAAGTCATGAATTGAGAACATCTCCCTCTAAACACAAATGCCTTTAGAGGTCTAACTTGTTTTATGAAAAAGGCATTGCATGTTTCAAGTTAGGAATAAAGATAATAAGAAAAAACTCCAACTTCACTCAAAATAATTATGCTAATCAGATCAATCCATGAAGTTTGAAAGTGACAAGATCTGCCTATTTCCAAAGAAATATTAAGACAAATGCAGTGCTTTTAAACAGTTTATGGACTAAGCCATTTACTAAACGAGAAAGCCATTTACTAAAATGAAGATGAGACTTTGGTTCATTTAGAAAAAGCTCCTGTCTTTCAGGAGTAGTTTCCTGATTCTTATGCAGAAAGTCTATATATTACAGAATATTCCGTACAACTTGCATTATTTGGATCCTGAGGTGGTGTTGCTTTCTTGCACTGAAATTTCCAGCAGAGGGAGCTTTACTATTACAGTTAGTGAAAAAAAAAAAACCAGCTTTACTGAATATTTTTCAGTTACAACCTGAAAAAGTGTGAGCCCATTGGGATTTTTTTTTATGATATGAATTCATGATATCATAATATGGAACAATTTAAAAGGGGCAGAAAGGGCAAACCATTTCCTAGAAAGAACTTTTCCATACGTAGTGTTACAGTATTTCATTGTGGTTCCTTTGAAATCAGAAAGTTCAATGTAAGTTGGTAAGTGTACTATGGTAGCAATGTGGAATCTGGTCTGTTCTCTGCTTTCTCTTTCGCTGATAGTAGTGATGGATTAGCTTGAGGGAATGGTAGCATAATTTGGTTTTAATACTACTCCAGTTTGTGGCTGCTCTGAGAATTTGGTCACATAGTATAAACTACTTTTGTGGCACTGAAACTTACTTTGCTGTTCTGGTGACTGTTTTTTTCTTGACACAAAGAAGTGCTCAAAAAGCAAAGACCCTCCATTGATTGTCGTTCCACGCATTCAGCTGTGGATACCCATTCCACTCTTGCATTTGAAGGTGATAAGATTTTTGACCTGACGGCATCTGTGCAGCAGGAGCAGGCATGCTCTGCACCATGTTCCTGACAATGATGTAATGATTTATTGCTCCCAAGTCTCAGTCGTTTTTGCTTGACATTGAAATTTTTTTGTCCTTCTCAAATCTTTCACAGATTTTCATCAAAATTTTTCAAGTTTTAATTAGTACTTCTCTAGCTTTTCCTTTGTTGCCTACATGTAGAACAAAAAGGGGCAGGGAATAAAATTCCAGGAAAATGTCTCCTTTTCCCAAAAAACTTGATCTTTGAATTTCCCTTTTCAAGTGTGATCTCATCAAGATTCCCAAGCTTAATAGTCTTCCCCTGTTGTGATGGAGTGCCAGGGATGAACACACCAAGAATCTTTATTGCTTTGGAGAAGCTCTCTTTCTTTTTCCTGGCACAGACAATCTATTAAATGGACAAAGTGTAAATGGGGAAAGATGATTATTCTGTCACAAGATAATGCAATTATAGTGTTCTCTGTATTTAATGCAGGGCTGATTTGGTAGCCGAACAGAATACTGAAATCTATTCTGTTATCGTTCCAGTCTCTTCTCGCAGACAAATTAGTACTGGTTTAAAGAGGTGCACTCTATTAAATTTAAAGTCATACAGTGTACATGCAGATAACTAGAAATTAAGATGAGACTGTTCTACTTGAAAATGCACATATATGTAAACACGGTGGTCTCAAATTAATGACAGTATGTAAACTCCCATAAATTTTTTGTTAGCTGATGTTTTGTGTACATGTGATCAGTGGATTATTTTGCAGTTGTGCTAAAAAATATATTGCGTATTGAACCATTCAGAATTCTTTTCTGTATGTATTTTAGTGCTTCATTGCCTGTTTTTTTATTTTTTTTTTATTTTGTTCTTATTTGATAAATTTAATTGATTAGTTGGTACATTTTTTAATTGATGAAACATTGCTTTTTTGATGTTGATGTCATTTGACTTTCACTTGGCTAACAGAAAGCAGGTTATAATTTATATATCAGCATATTCGTTGTTAACTTTGCCTGTACATTTTCAGACACAGATGTATATACTTTTGGACTTGGACAATATGGGCAGCTGGGACATGGTACTTTTATTTTTGAAACTTCAGTACCAAAGTCTGTGAAACACTTGAGGAAGCATAAAATATGTAACATTACATGTGGGGAAAATCATACTGCTGTAATTGCAGGTATGTAAGTGAAAAATTCTGAAATGCACTTCCAGTGACTCTATTATACTGTAAAAGCTTTATTTATAAAAGGAGCAGTTAGAAGAAGACGTATGGAGACTTACTAGTTCTAAAGGTTAAGTGAGCCAGTAAGAAAGCCGGATTTGATATTAGGAATTTTGATTCACAGCCATGACATTTATAGTCCTGTACATGGTATCTTGTGGGCAATTATAACCTCATAATCATGCCTTGCTAACAAGTATTCTTGTTAAGAAGCCTTTGTTTTGCTATGCAATTTCAATCTTAGTGTTTTGTTGTTGGTTCAGTTTTTTTCCCCCAAAATTGTCTAGACTAACTCTAATCTCTGACAGTACTTTGTCTGAAAATATATATATTTTTGGATCATATTCATCTGTTGAGTATCTGAAAATAATCGTTCAGGATTTGCTTTTGGAAGAGAAGTATTCCTTACTCGCATGGCCTGTTACTTTGTTTGTAATGATTTTGATGATTTTGTCCTGGTTTTGTACTGAATCTCTGCTATTAATAACATCCTGTTTTTTGTTTTTTTTTTTCTTCTCTATATACAGAGAATGGCCTCATGTTTACTTTTGGAGATGGACGACACGGCAAGTTAGGACTTGGAGAAGAGAATTTTACAAATCAGTTTGATCCCACTCTGTGTTATAATTTCTTGAGGTTCACAGTCCTTTTGGTAAAACTTTTTGTTCATGTTTCTCAGACATCAAAATGTTTATATTTTTATGAAACACATTATTAATGAGAGTTGAAATCTCCTTATAGTAATTTTTTTTTCTACAACACGTAATTACTAGACAACACAAACTGAAAGAAAAAGGAAATTATATTTCACACGTCATTTAGTTTAGAATGTACTTGGCTTGGACTACACACGTAGACTGTTTTTTAGACTTTTACTCAGTAGTGTTGTGCTATAGTGTTTTGTTCTATAGATTTAGTAGTAGCCTATAAAATTAAATATTTGTTGCTCTTAGATTGTTTGCAGTAGAGAGGAAACTAATATCTGTTGTGGAAATGGTTCACCAGAGTGACATCTTTTTAATTTTAACAATTATTTGTACAGTGGAATGTGTATTAAATCTGAAGAAAATTTGAGGAGTTGCTTTTTGGAATGCAAACGGGATGAGAAAGGAGAAATACTCTTTTCTTTTAAGAGCATTGTTTTAATCTATTTCCTGAGCTGTTTAAGAAACAAATATCACAGAATTGCCAGCATCAGAAGTGCAAACATGACTCAGGATTGAGCAATATTTGGGACTCACTTCTGTTTGTTTACTGGACTTAAACTCTAAGGAAGTTTTGTCAGAAGTGGTAAGGGATTTAAACTTTTTAGGAAGTGAAACCTCTGATCTTTATATAACTATACTTTGTCTATTGGAAGGTGTAGGACTTTGCTTTACATTTTGTGGATTTTTGTGATAAAATATCTAGGTTTGTGTCACTGAGGTTATCGGTATTGCCAGCGTTTGACTTTCATCAAAATAATTAGCTCCAATCTTTTCAAAATCAGTAGAAATACCTTTACTTTCTTCTCTCGATAATTTGATAGAACTATCTTGTGTTCTGTTCAATACAAATATGTCATATTTAAGTAAGAAGAAATTAATCTAAATCACTAGTCATTAGTAATTGTAGTCGTATACTTTTATCTTGCTAACATCATTAGGAGCTGAATTTGAAGCAATTCAACATCTCTTACTTTTATTATGTTTTTCTTAGAATCTAAATCCCTAGAGATCCTTGTATTGATACTTGCAAATGAAATAAGCAGATCTTTTTTGGCACTGTAGGTTGCTTGTGGTGGTTGTCACATGCTAGTTTTCGCTGCTCCAAGATCTGAAGGATCTGAAGAAATACTCTTGGAAGATTTATGTGAGAGCCGTTTGACTGCTACTATCTCTAAAACGAGTGGAGACTCACTACTAACAAACACCTTACAACTAACATCAGCACGAATACGACGTCGAGAGAGGGTAAATTCTGAGCTGTTTAGAGTTGCCATACTTGTTGTAGGAAACAAAATAACTTTTTAAAGTAAAATCACAGCATATACCCAGCAGATAAATATATCTCCTTAAAATATGTGTTTAATTTTAGTGTATAAAAAGAAGAATGTATGTGTACCCTGGTCCCAAAATGGGTGCACATAAAAGGTAGATATTGATCAGATTTTATTTATTTCTTTCTATGAAAAAGACTCAAATTGGCTTTGTATTTTTTTTACTCTAAAATGTAAAGCCTGTTCCTTTGCATTTTAAAAAATATTTTAGAAATATTAACAAAAATAAGTAAAATCTGACTGTTTTTCGTGTTCTCTTTGAGTCCTTGAATAGATTAAACAAATTTATAGTTTATAAAATATCAAAGGGGAAAGTTTCACAATCAGCTTAAAATGATCCTAAGATCCTGTAGCTACAGGATTTTCTCCTGTAGCTCCACCTCTCCTTTCTCTCCACTACACATTCCATGTGATTTCTTTAGCAGCACAATGAGTTGAATTATTTCACTTACCTCTCTGAAAACTAGCTCTACCACAAAACCCCATTTATTTTCTAAAAATATATTAATGCTGTGGATTAAGTAACTTAGAGTTATTTGAGAAACTAGTACTTTAAGTAAAAATCAAAATTCTTTTTATCCTTTGTCTATATTTTAAGATTGCTTGAGATTATTGTGTAGAAATGACCTAAAATATCTCACTGTATCTCTCCACTTTTTATAAATATGAATATTCATAGATTTATATTTAAATATTTTATAAATAAAATATTAAAGAAATGTTGTTTATGCTTTGCGTACAAAGTTACAACACTGCATCATCAACTAAACGAAAATACCGCTGTTAGGTGTGAGAGGTTGCTTACATTTATTCTTTTATTCTTCTACTCTTATTCTCAATAATTATTTTATTTTAATCTTCTAAAGGAAAAGTCACCAGAACAGTTTATTCGAATGGCACAAACTCTGCCTCCACTGGGAGAAAGCTTCTTAAAATCTTCATTGCCTGTGACTAGCAACACTAGCCCACTCTGTTTTTCTGCAACAAGTCTTCCTAAAGCTCAACCTATGAAGCATAAAGACCATGAAAAAGGTGAAGTTTCCTCACATCTTGTTGCTGTTTTCTTAGGATTATCTAGTTTGGCTTTCATCATTCATAAACAAACACTTAGTTTGGACATGAAAGGAGATTTAAGTTCAGTCTTACCTCAAGAGGGTCTGGCAAAATACAGACATGAAAATTGAGGAATGTGTACAAGAAATTGCCTCTCACTTCGTTCATGTTTGGAAAATGTGCCTAAAGAATTAGAGGAGGGTTCAGTGAAAGAAAAACAACTTCTGAATTGTACCTGAGGTTCCTCAAGCCTGTCGAAATATGACTTCACAAAAATATTGTAATATTAGTAACCACATTCTTCATGTTCACAAAAAAAACCCCAAGAATTACAGAAAAAAAATTTTTAGGGATAGTCATAAAGACAAAGGAAGGCCTACCTTGGATAAGAAAAGAGGTCTACAAGTTCTTATAGGAGCTTGCTTCTTCACTTGGAAATGCAGAAGTACTCTTCACTCTATGTTATCTAAGTTAATAAGGATTTGCAATATTCTAGCTAATGTAAAAGCCTGGGTAACAATGATACTGATACAGTGCTGGACTTCTGCACAGATTCTCTAGAGCAGTTCTGGACTTCATCTGGGTTCTTGGGCATGCGTGGTTTTCTGGGAAAAGCAATGCTGAAGAGTGCAGAACACAGTGATTCTATATAAAAGTCAGCTCAGATTTATTGGACGGTCAAATCCAATTTGAAAGTAATTAATTCAGTTAGAATTAAAGTAACTGTTTGTAAAGCTGCCAGCACGTCCATTGACATTTCTGGTTCCAGGAAAGCCGTGCAATGAAATTTGAAATGCCTTTATTGTTTTCTGAGGCCTAAAACCTCAGTTTTGTGCCATATGAAACTGGTCATATACCTGATGAACTCGAGATGAACCTGAAAATTATGTAGGTACGTTTTTATGATGCTACATTGGAGTTAAATTCACTGTCACTCCATCCATTACACAGATAATGTGCAATGTAGCTAATATATAACTGCAGCTAATTTAGACTAACTTGTACACTAGTATTAAAGAAGCTTTGTCTCATGTAGTAGCTATTCTTTGAAAGCCTGCAAAAATGGTCAAAGATTTACAGTGCATTGAGGCCAGATTGCTGAGCTACCTCTAATGTTAATACTGACAAAAAGGAGGTGGAAGTGTTTTTGCTGTGTCTTAGGCTGGGGAATGAGTAATCTCAAGACTTCAGTCCTGTGTCAGTAAAATAGAGATGATCTCTATTTTCTCTATTTTACAAGAGTGGGGGTTCTGTTTCTATATATTGCTGCTTCTTATGGTATTTGTTTACTTCCCCTATTTTGCCTTAAAGAAAAGACTCATCAAAAAGATAAACCTGGTGAAGGTCCTGCAGAAGAAGATTCAGATAGTGAAAATAATGACAGAAACCTTGGAGATACAACTGACATCCTAAATATGGTAATATATTCCACTAATGAATCTGTGATTCAATCGGTTTTACGCAGGGCCAGAACAAAGCAGCTAAATAATGTTTCAAATTCTAGTACAGAACTCCTGGCTATCCCAAAACTTCATATGTGGCATCAAGAAGTACTGACATACTGTTAAATGAGCATGCATTTCATATCGTCGTTATCTGATGATAAAATTTGTTTTCGTTTTCCAAGTAATGTTGTAGTATGAGATTGAAGCAGTCCAAGTAGTACAGCCCCTCCCAAAGCTTCAGCTGTGGATATCGGAAAGAAAAGGAGAAGGACATTGGGTACCACATGGTGATTTCTATCTCTGACCATCCTCATCTTGATGATTTCCAAGAGAGAGAACTGCACAGGAAATGAAGCAGAGAGCTGTCTTTTCCTGTTCCTAGAAAAGCGTTTTTGGTACAGATGGATCATATTAGAGGGAAGACCAAAATGCAGACATTTTGATTATTTGGTGATCCCCAAGCATGTTCCTGCGTATTTCTTTTATTTAAAAAATACGTTCACCTTATGACTTGTGCACCTTTCCAAAACATTTTGTTCTGTTGGCAAATAGGGCATGTCCTGACCTTAACACAGTGCGCTGGATAGAGTATTGTATTTTATGTTTTTTTGAACTTCAACAGTATGGAAACAAATGAGCAACTCACTGTGGACTCAGCTCAGGATACATTGTCGGTTATGCTGGAGGGATTGCAGATGTTACAGGAATTATTACTTGTTTGTACTTAACAGTACTTAGTAATTTAAAAATCTGTTTGTGCATACCATTTATTTAACAGTTATAAAACTTAATTTACAAGAAAATATTGTTTTCAGATATGATGCACAATGTGACCTTCATTAATTTACTGAGGCATTATTTATAACATCTTGCACAGTTTTTGTGTTAGACTTCCTTCTCCTTTTTGTTATTGTAGCCATTGCAAATCAATTTTAAAACATATATCAGAATGAAACAGTAACTTTGAAAAAAGTCTGTCAGGCAAACTTGTCAAAATACAAAGAAAAATGATTACTCTTCTTGAATCTGAATGAAAATAATCTTACAGCATAGTTGTTTCAATTTTTCTAAACTGTGGTAACATACATCGTATTGACAAGTGTGACAAGAAGAGGAAAAAGCTTTAATATCTTATTGATGATACAAATTCGTGGGTGTCAGAAAGCAGAACTGTCCGTGCTCACTGTGGTGAAAAAGAATGTGGTGGTTAAACCATAAGCAGTTAACAAACAGTAGCAGAAAACATGATCTTGTCATTTGGAGTATATGGGAAGGGATGACCTAAATCTCACTGTACTAGCCCACCTAGTAGTATTCTGCATTGCCTTGCCTTTTGGGTTTTTTGCATTATGTAGAAGACATAAAGGCATTCATTCCAATGAAAATTTCTGCTGTCTAATACTTCTTTGAACATGTTCTTTCAAGGCCATGGTATCAAACTGGATGTAAAGTTGAAGGTTGTGATGATAAGGGAGTAAGGTGTTAACGTTTGTAGCCACAACTTCACAGTGAGTGGAAGGTGGATCTAAAATGTGCTTATGGGCGGTAAGAGTGGGCATGTAGCTTTCAGTCTGTACAAACAATTTAGATGTTGACATCTAAGCTGGTTACTACTCTCTCTCTTTGAAAGTAGTATATGAGGGAGTGGAAGTGAAATAGGTCACTTGAGTGATCATACAGGTTTGTCTCAGCCTGACTGTGCAATAATGTTAAAATGTTCATATAATAGCTCT